TTAAAAAATAAGAAAAAAGAATGTGTCCTTCCTAGATACAATAGGCCTGACAAAGATGGTGGTGCAACGCAAACTCCTTAAAGCTACCACAGAAGAAGCTCAAAGAACATTTTCTTGAAGCCCCAAAGCCAGCATTGCTTGAGATGGCTGTGGTAGAATGAGTTCTGTGTGAAACTGCATAATTCAGCCTCTGTTGCAATGAAATTCTAATCTTAGGATGCAAGAGGAAGTGATGTATGCTATTCCACACTGAGCCAATAACACCTCCCCAGTGGGCTCCTCTAGGCTGGTTCCCTCTTGTAGCTGACTAGCTACGAAATGACCTCAGGAATGTCCTTGGAAGCCAGGAGTTAAAGGAGGATGAATGACTTGTGGAACCGAGGTCTACCTTTGCCTGCTAAGCAGGAAGATCCTTAATGAACTATTTCCCTTGAACAAGAGAGAAACTTGTATTGTGTTATACTGCTAACATTTAGAGGTTTATTTGTTGCAATCACTAGCATTACAGCATTAGTTATACAACAAGAATTACAGTGTTTTGGTGAATGGGGATATGAATAAATTGAAAAGTGGGTAAAGAACATAATCCAAGGGGCGCCTGGGTGGTTCAGTGGGTTAAGCCTCCGCCTTCAGCTCAGGTCATGATTTTGGGGTCCTAGGATCGAGCCCCGCATTGGGCTCCCTGCTCAGAGGGGAGCCTGCTTCCCCCTCTCTCTCTGCCTGCCTCTGCCTACTTGTGATTTTTCTCTCTGTCAAATAAATAAATAAAATCTTTAAAAAAAAAAAAAGGACATAATCCAAGTTCATAAATAAGGAAACAGGATCAGAGAGTCAGGAGTCTTGCCCAAAACACCCAGGTAGTAACTTGTGAAACTGGCCTAGAACTCAGCCATTCTGTGCAAATTCATGTTCTTCTGGTGTCCTATGCTACAAAAGACCAACTGGATTGAGTCCAACTTGGTTCCAAGTCTTGAAAACTGATACTGACCAACATATAGCAGAAAAGACACTACCTATATGTACTGAATAGCACAGATTTTTTTGGTATTGTTACTGATTGGCATCTAAATGTACTGCTTTCAGGATTTACTTATAAATGGTAGAATAATGGATGCTTACACTTGTTTGTTCCTTTTTTGGATACGCAGTGTGGGTATTTTATGATTGGAATGAGAATGGTGTTTATTTTAGCTTGATTTTAAATGAGGTTTGCTAGAATTATCATGTGATTGATATCCAGTGATATTTTAGTGCAAATTAACTTCCTATAGATTAATCTGAAATATTGCTAACATTTCTCTTCTTCTGAGCATATACTTCTTCTTTCTAATGAAGCTATGATAGTATTTGACATTAGCTTTTTACAGTATCAAAATTAAGGAACCATGTTTTCTTTTTATCCCTTATTTTTTTCCAATAAAAATATGTTTTCGTTATAGAAAAGCAATTTAAAAATCACCTACTATGCCCGTTTGTCACTATTGAAGTGGGGGTTCCAGGCAAGCATGGGAAAGAGGCTTCAGTGATCCACGTGGCAACAGATTAGAGTCAGAGGACATAAGTATAAACCCTTGTTAGCTTATTGTAGATCTAGAGAGCCATAGAGAACTATTCATAGATACACACATGCACAGGTTGGTATACAGACAGTCCCCAATTTACAATGGCTCAACGTATGATTTTTCAACTTCATGATCCTGTAGACACCAGACTTTGAATTTTGCTAGCCACATGCAGTAAGACAATCTCTGATGATGCTGGGCAATGGCTGTGAGCCACAGCTCCCAATCAGCCATGCAATCAGCAGGGTAAACAACCAATGTACCTACAAACATTCTGTTGTTCACTTTCAGTACCATAGTCAATCAATTTACATGAGATATTCAATGTTGTATTATAAAATAAGCTTTATGTTTGGGTGCCTGGGTAGCTCAGTCAGCTGAGAGCCCGACTCTTGACTTTGGCTCGGGTCATGACCTCGGGGTTCTGAGATCAAGCCCTGTGGTCAGGCTCCATATATAGCCTGCTTAAGATTCTCTCTCACCCCTTCATTCTGCGCCCCTATCCTCCGTACACATGTGCACTCACTCTGTCTTAAAAAAATAATGATAATAGGCTTTATGCTAAATGATTTTGCCCAACTGTAGGCCATGTAAGTGTTCTCAACATGTTAAGGCAGACTAGACTAAACTATAATTTTGGTAGGTAGGGGTATTAAATACATTTTGAACTTTCAATATTTTCAACTTACTGCAGGTTTATTAAGACATAATCCCAGCATAAGTTAAGGAAGATCTGTACAACCGTGTATTTCCTTGATATCAGTTGAGAAGGCCTAATTAGAAGTGATAGTACCACAACAGCAAGTAGCACATTTAGCACCAGATTTTTATTTCTAATACCATTGTCTAATAAAACAAACCAGAGCTTCTTAGAGAAATGGCTGATACTGGGGCAGGAAAGATACAAGACAAGCCTGGAATATATTACAGAGCAAGAAAGTATGGAATACTTTTTTTTTTTAAAGACTCAATAATAATAATGGGATATGTCAAAGGGAGACAGAAGCCAATGAACAGAGTTGGAACAATTTGAGCAATAAAGTAATTGAAGTGGTATTGAATTATAACCTAAACACAATAGAAATATGTATAAATATCCATGTGTTCATACTGATATAAAAGCATTGAGGGGCACCTCGGTGAACCAGTCAGTTAAGCATCTGCCTTCACCTCAGGTCATGATCTCAGGGTCCTGGGATTGAGCCCCATGTTGTCAGACTCCCTGGCCAGTGGGGAGTCTGCTTCTCCCTCTCCTTTTGCCTCTCCCCCTACTCATGTTCTCTCTCTCTCTCTCAAATAAATAAAATCTTTAAAAAAAAAAAAGCATCGAATAAATAGAGTAGAACGGAATAGAATAGAATAGAATAGAATAGAATAGAATAGAATAGAATAGAATAGAAATGATATATAGCAGCATGGAATGGGTGGAGAGCCGTCAGCAGTATTATAGAAGCCATTCTTGCCCACAGTTGGGATGCAAACTCAACGGTCTCCAAGGTCACTTTCAGTTTAAAAGACTGGAATTTTTCCTTAATCTTACATGTAACACTACATTTAAACTATTACCCTTAAACGTTGCCCCTGTTTTTGAGCTGTCTGCAGTCTCACTGGTGTCCTAACTGAAAAATTTATTCCACTAGCAAAAATAAAAGGCGTCTATTAAGAGGATGAGTACTTCAGCTTGTTTGTATGCATAGATGGGCACGTCTCTAAGTATGTGATGAAGAACAGGTCCTTTCACTATGATTAAGAAAGTGTGAATAAATCATCTCTTGAAACTCAATCTTCTCTATGAAGTCCATGCAAAAAGAACAGAAGCTTTGGAAGGCAGGTCTCCGGTTCACAACCAAATTTAGAACTTGTCTTCAAGACTTCTTCATATCCTTTCCAGAACATTGGGCCTTGTGAAAGGTCCCATCAATAAAAAATAAAACACACACACATTTATTAATATTAAAGCTTTTGAAGATCATGGGATCTGCTGATGAGAGTTTCTCACCTTTGCAGTGGTAGGTACTGAGGGATGACTTGTACCTGGTGGCAGTTTCTTTCCTCTGTGGTGAAGTAGACTTCACTGTTTTACACATCAAATGACTCCAATGTGTTTCCCCCTAGCCTACTAGTCCTCTTTATTCAGGCAAAAACTGTGTGATGGGTGTCCAAAAATGTTTGTTTCTGGAATTCCACTCACAAGAGAAAATTAGATAACCTCTTGGTCCACTTCCTATCAGAATAAACCTGATGGAAGGGAGAATGGGGGAAGGGAACTGAAACCAGCTTTAAGAACTTTTTGTCTAAACTTCAAAAGCACAGAAAGTGAATGTAATATTTTATGGGAAACCACACATTGCCTGTGGATCTTCACTAGCAACGCGCGGGATACACACACACACACACACACACACACACACACACACCAAGCCATAGGCGACTGCTATTGGTAAATGCCTCACCTCCAATCACCACAGCTAGGAAAGGTTCCCAAATTCCTAACGCACCACCAACAGATGGGGTCTCTTGCAGCCCTGGGCTGCAGCCTTCTAGTCTGTGGAATGACAGCGTGGAAGGTGTTGCAAGGAAATCCCTTGCATGCTTTGTGGTATGTTAAAAATGCAGCATCATCCTCTCTGCTCCCTTTTCTTCAGCAGAAAAACAGAATTCGAGGGCACAGGGAAACTGGAGGGTCAAAAACGCCGCTTGCCTCCAGGAGCCCTCGAGCTCCCTCCCTCCACGCACCCCCCCGCCCCGCTCAGGCTCTAATTGCCAGTGCTCCAATGGGCCAGCAGCACCTTCACCCGTTTCCTCTTCCATTCACTCCAGCAAGGAGGGAAGAGTGAAAACAAAACTCTAAAAATAACTGCCAGCATCTTAAAAAAAGAAAAGCTTAGCTGCCCCCCCAACAGCTCCCTCCCTTCTAGTCTCTCTCCTCCCCGCCCCCCCCCCGCCCCTTATGGGGCACATGTCTGCTTCTTACAACACCGAGGCACATGGTTCCAGTTAGGCACCGAACCCCATCAGGACCGAGAGGAAATCCACATCTGTGGGACGCTCCGCACGGAACCACCTCCAGCGAGGGAGGCCGGGGGACTGCAGCACCGAGATGAAGGGCTAGACCGCGGGAACGCTGCTCATGCGGTGAGAGGGGCGCAGGAGGCGGCGAGGGCGCGGGGAGGCGGGGGAGGTGTGGGCCCCGCGGTGCCCCCGCAGCGCCCGCCGCGGGCCCCCACGCGCGCTGTCGATATTTGCCCGCCTTGCTGCAACTTGCTGCAGTGTTTGAAAGAGTAGTAAGAGCGCATGGAGGTGGGGCCGGGGAAAGACCAGGCGGAGTGGCTGGGGGTGAAGCGGCGGGGGTAGGGACGCGGCGGTGTGGGGAAGGGGGCTGGCCGGGAGGGGGTGGGATGGGGGAGTGAGGGGAAGCCCGGCGCTTACACATGTCACATGTGCTTTTTAAGACGGCCGGGAGCGCCTGCGAGCTGGATCTGGTGGAGGATGCTGCGGCAGGTGCTTCGCAGAGGGCTCCAGTCGTTCTGCCACAGGCTGGGCTTGTGCGTGAGCCGGCACCCGGTCTTTTTCCTCACCGTACCCGCAGTCCTGACCATCACCTTCGGCCTCAGCGCGCTCAACCGCTTCCAGCCCGAGGGCGACCTGGAGCGCCTGGTCGCTCCCAGCCACAGCCTGGCCAAGATCGAGCGCAGCCTGGCCAGCAGCCTTTTCCCCCTGGACCAGTCCAAAAGCCAGCTCTATTCGGACTTACACACCCCTGGGAGGTATGGCAGGGTGATCCTCCTCTCCCCACCCGGGGACAATGTTTTGCTCCAGGCTGAGGGGATCCTGCAGACCCACCGAGCCGTGCTGGAAATGAAGGTGAACCACAAGGGCTATAATTATACTTTTTCCCATCTGTGTGTGTTGAAAAATCAGGATAAGAAATGCGTGCTGGATGATATTATTTCAGTGCTAGAGGATCTCAGGCAGGCTGCCGTCTCCAATAAGACAACAGCCAGGGTGCAAGTGAGGTATCCCAACACTAAATTAAAGGTATGCTCCTCCTGCATGCTTCTGCCAATTAAAGAGGCAGCACTTCATTTCTTGCCCTAAACAAGCAAAGAAAATGCAGAGGTCTCATCCTTAAGACTCAGAAGCTAATGCTTCTTTCATTTCTTGGGGGAGGGGAAGATGGGCAACTGAGTGAAGAAAACAGGCAATGAATGGTATGACTAGATATTAAGAAATTCAAAGCCAAACAAAACAAATGCCAAAAATGAAAAAAAAAAAAAAGAAAGAAAAAAGTTGTTTCTGAGACCCTGCAATTACATCTTTGTTCAGGGTTAATAAATCAGTGAATGGAAGGGGGAGGGGGAATCCTGAACAATTTGGGGGATTTCTTTTCATTATGGGGTTCGATGTATTTCTTATTACTGATTACACATCCACCTGGTGCCATATCCACCTATCTACATCTTCGGCCTGGCTTGATTTTGACATGCAGAGATTTTGTGTTTTGGTGCCTTGTGTGTGTCTGAGAGCAGTGGATATGAATGTAGTAGGGATTCCAGGAATTATGTGTAAGTGTGTTAGCATAGCAAAAGAAGCAGAAATTTTCTGTGTGTAAAAATGGAGATACGCAGCTCACTGATGTACTAGTTTACTGAGTCCTGTCATCTTCCTTTTCCATGACAAAATCCAAACTAAACCAAAATTATTATAACAGCCCAATAGCAAGAAAGCGAAAGAAAAAAAGATTGATTCTACAGTCAGCAAAAATTGCAAAAAAAAAAAAAAAAAGATTATTTCAGCACTAGATATATTGTGTTGTTTAAACTCTCAAGTCAAATTTTGGTCCTCAAATGAGATTTCTAAATTCATTCTACACTGTCAGGATTGAGCTGCTGCAGGCAATGAGGCATGCAGTCTCCAGGTGACTGAAGTTTCAGGGACAAATGTGACTTCTAAAAGAGTCACTGCACCATTTGTATGCTCGACCCTGTGCACGCTCAAGAACCAAGAACTCCCAAGACAGGTGTTTCCCAAGAAGGAGGAATTTTCTTTCTTCTGATATATATAAGGCTATGTGTGTGCTTCCATGGAGATAATGGAATAGGAAGGATGTCAGTTTGGATAAATGAATGGCCTCACATAGGAAATCATTAATACTTCTGTTTATGGATTTGATAGAGTCAGCATCCATACATGATTTAAAAAGAACTTTCTCCAGGTTTTGTTTAGTTAAAAAGCTTTTATTTTTCTTTCCTTTTTTTTTTTTTTGTGTGTGTGTGTGTGCAATGAGGGAGAACTTAATGCACTTAGAAACCAGGGATGCCTCAGGAAACCTCATAACCTGCCTCCTTTTAGCATGTTGTCCTGTTTAAATGCATCCAGAGGCTGACACAGTTTCAGCTTTACAAAGCTGAGCAATCCCTTGGGGTTTACTGAAACTAGACAGATGATTCATCAGCTTGAAATCTAGGTAAGGGCTTGCTGGCTTCATACTTATTGAAGGAAGCGTGAATATATGGTTGGGCAGCATGCTTTTTTGTTACCTGAATCTTTTGCCATCAACATTATCACTTGCTATAGAAAAGAATGCAGTGAAGAGGTGATCTTTCTAGTCCACAGTCTTTTACCTGAGTTCTTAGCTTTGCCAGACATCTGGTTTAAGAAAGGTTTGGAAATGTTTCATATTTAAGCATCAATTTGTTTTACCTATTGAGGCAAGTTTACTGATTATTCATATGCATTATTAGTTGGGTCCCTTATTTCCTTTATTCGGCAGTACTCTCCAGGTGTAAGAGCTTTGTCCAATCAGCCACTGTGAATATTTTGTTTACCTGGCAATATCATTATGATATTTACAGTATAAACCCCTGAGGTCTTAGATGCACTCACTTAATGATTGGTTGTGCTCCTCTGATTTACTAGGGGCTCTTCTAGGCCCACAAGACAGGATTTGAGGTAAGAAAAGCAAGGTTTTATTCTCATGGGGCCTAAAAGTAATATATGTCAGTGTCTTCACCCAGAATTTTCTGCAAGCAGGGACTCTGCAATTTCTGGGGTTCCTCATTGAACCAACACCATACTAGGCCTATAACTGGTGCTCCATCTAAACTTTCTTGCTGACTGGTTGGTAGATCTACATCTTAGTAAGAGTCAGTGGGTAACCATAGAAGAATGGAGTAATTGATTACAAAGGTCAGTGTAGTGGTAGTAAAATTGTTCTATTTACCATAAAAAGAACAGGAGAATTACACATTGGCTCTATACACATAGGCTCTGTAGACCTTATTCTGCTACATTCTAATATCAGTGCCTCCTCCAGTGTGCTGGCTTGACTCTCTGTGCATGGCCTCAGTGGGACTTGTAGAAGCTGTTTGAGAAAATGAATCCCTGGATTCTCTGTGGAGAGCAGTGGGCTTTCTCAAGCATCCAGTGGTAACTGCACCCATGCCAACGTAATATAATATATAATTTGTACAGTACCACAAATACCTAGAATCTTATCAAAGTGTCTCCAAGAACTTCTAGGTTAAGAACTCCTTGTCACAGAGCAAAATGAGGGGGTCTTTTGTTTGGATTGCATGTTATTTGGAAATGATTTTGATTCACATGTGGCAGTGACTCTCAAAGGGCTGTCCCTGTGATGTTGATGCATGGTAAAGTTTGAGAACTTCTGGTGTATGCGATTTGAGGGAAAATTTTATACTACATTTTATAGCTCTCTAATTCATTTTGCTTTCCTTTGTCATACTTGGGTCACTGCCCTTCCCAACTCAATATGGAAAATTTTCATGATGGAAGATGCTATCAGTGGGCCAGGGAAGCAGGAGTTGTGGCTAAATAAAAAGCACTGGTTGGATAATAAATAGCACTGGTTAGATAACTGGCAATCTCTTGACATGAAAGAAGCAGTAGGTCAGTTCTTGGAGATCCTCTGTAGATGTGTAAACACTGTTTAACAGAAAGAAGTGGCCAGAAACAGCTCTGACAATTGGAAGGGCATCTCCCAAATATTATGAAGACACCCAAGTAGTCCTGAGCACAGAAGGATTTAGAACTTCTGATAAACATGATTATCTTGACAAGGTGATCCAGAGAAGCAGGGACATAGAAAGTTGGCTGGCATCGAATTCCAAAGAGAGGCTCAAATAAAGCTGGTACGAGAAAAGATGTTACAGAAGATATAAAACATACACACATTTTCAAAGACTATGTAGAAAATATGCCAAAATATACAATGTCCACACCTATGAAATACGAACTCTATGAGTGTACCTGTTATTAAAATCATTATATTATCATATCCATTATTATATCCCCAATTAAGTACAAAGTTCAAGTCTTATATTCCTTCTAAGCATGCTCTTTGTGTTCCCCCACTCCAACCTAATCTGATTCTTTGTAGATAGTATTCACATCATTGATTAGCCTATTAATTTGGACATTTGTACTGTGATATCACAAAATTATCACCACTTTTCAAACCTCTGTGGCATGCTTTTATTTTTAAAGGTATTCTCTACATTCTCCAGATCTCTATAAGGTGTTTTGGTTTAGAGGCCTTCCCCCCCCCCCCACTTAGGAAAGCTACGTATTCTATAGGTTAATACAATGTGGCCAGACTGAATTTTTAAATCAAATACTTCACATTTTGCTGGACCAGACTCTTGAATAAAATGAATCAGGCATCAAAATCCTTAAGCAAGGACTGCTCTGGACTCAAAGAAATGTTTCCATGATTATTCAAGTGGCCCAGGTGTTTGCAGGTGGTATTTCTCCTTGTAGGCCATCATGACCTCACTTTTCCATCTGGCTAATTCTAAGAAAGTAACAATTTCCATGTCTCCAGTTCTTTATTTTTACCACAGTAAAAGCACAGGTAAAGAAGAAACAGACAAATGCGGTCCATAGCAAATGGCAAGGAGGAAATGAAGCAGATTTGATTCCCCTGCAGCCTGTCCTCCCTGTTAAATTTCATTAATATCATACCTATGAACAGATGTTTAACTGAAGCATCCGTGCTTCAATACACTGCACTTAAGAACAGGAGCAAAAAAAGACTTTCCTGTTTCTTCATAAGGGACAGTGTTTCTTCGGGTACACTTCCAGGTTTGGAAGATGTTGCCATTGATTACTTAGTTCCAGTCTGAGTGAAAGGACAACATAAGCCAACATGGAGAATGAGGACCAACATTATTTTGAGAAACTTCCAAGAAAGGTCATTCTCTAGACCTTTTTCCCTAGTTCATCCTAAAATCTTATTAGACATCCATTTCAGGATCTTACCTGGGGATATTTTGATTTAAGCTTACCTTCCTGATTCTCTCTTTTAATAAGGGAAAACATTATTACCTTATTGAATGTTCACATTGTGTACTATGTGATACTGGTGTTTTAGACACACCATGCTATTTTTACAAGTTTATAAGTCAGAGGAATATTTTTATTGTCATTGGATAGGTAAGGAAACTAAAGATCATGAGGTTGAATGACTTCTACAAGACTCTCCAGGGTAGTACAGGTTGGAGCTGGGATTTAAATCTAGGTCTGTCTGTACCAAAGTTCATATTCTTAATCCCAATGCTATATTAGGTCCTATCATACCATGTACCATTCTTTGTAACAACAGATCTTTGTACTAAGACAATCTAATGCCTATCACCAGTCCACAAGTTGGTGAAATGAAGCCTCAATTCTCTTATTCACCCATAAGGGAATGAAACTTCCAGTCTAGACAAACTCCTACCCTCTGCGTATCATGGAACCTGCTACAAATTGTTTAGCAAATTTCTCGCTGACACATGATTTCATCTTTAATATCATTTCACATCAACTCAGAACAAACCCTGGTCAAGGTTCAGGATCAACTG